TGGGAAGGGGGGGAAATAGGACCTATTGCTTACTTGCTCTGTTTGTTGCTGTTGACGAGCTTTCTGTCTGAGTATCTCACGCCTTCTTTCTATAGCCTCTTCGTCAAGTTCTTCTTCATCACTATAAACAAAAAAAATTTATAAAAATAATATTTATTATTTATCACAGTACTTGTACATTTACAAGTTTGGACCTTTTTAGACCTTAAAAAACAACAACTTTAAACCATGCACTGGTCAAAAACAAGGTGAAACATGTCAATGTACATATAATATACAAAACGAGGGCCTTCTCCGGGTACTCCGGTTTCCTCCCTCCATAAAAAGCAACATGTGAGTTGAGTGTTGTACAGTACATGTTGTAAATTAATATAACATTGTACTGTATTGGTAGTGCGTGAAACCTCACGGAAGAGCCCCATATGGCTAGAGGTGGTTGTAATATATATATATATATATATATATATATATATATATGAGTATATACATACATATACAGCCATTTGCAAAAATTATGGCCGTTGCAAAAATTAGTCTATAATTAGTCTATCACTAGGGCTTTGTGAAAAAAATATCAAGAAAGATATCCCGCCCTGTCTGATATACTTTCGATATACTTTTTTATTTATATTTGAAACGGCCATAATTTTTGCAAATGGCTGTATACATATAATAATATATATACATATATGTAACCTGGACTAGAATCTATTATCATGGTACCTGCTTTCCTCTTCCATTGGAATTAATCTTTGTCTTGTTTCTGCTTCAATCTAGGAATTCAAAGACAATAAGCAAAAAGGGGCGTTTAAAGGGGCACTTGGATGAAAACGCCCCAATTTTTGAAAGTCCGAATAATTGAAGTATTTGAGGATAATATGACTCAATTATGATTATTTAAACCAGATTAGTGAACATTTTAGCCTGAGAGCCACTTGCTATTGAGATATTTTGGTTCAAAAGCAGAAAGAACAATAGGGTTGAGTAAATGACGTCATTTACTCCAAATTTATATGCTGAATAAAACTGATAATTTTTATCCGCTACTTTTTACTGTTAAGAAAGCATATTGCTTGGCTACTATCTGGGCCATATAGATGCGTTTAAATAAGTTTAAAGTCATTTCCAATTTTTATCCATTTTCATCCAAGTGCCCCTTTAAGTGGGTAGAAGAAGACTTTATGGAGTTTTGTGAACAATGAATTATGGAAAATCCACGTCTTTGTATATGCTATAAGAAACACAAAAGAAACGAAAGAAAACTTAATGCTGTATTGTTTCCCTGCTAGCAGAGCCTATTTTTCTTTTGTTTTGGAAGGGGAAAAATAGGCCTCTCCAAATAATATTTGACGCCAAAATTGTTCATGCCCACCTCGTGTACCCGGCTGGAAAAACAGTCTTGAAACTGGTTTTGTTAGTCCATGTGGATGGCATTGTATCAAAGGAAACATCCTACATTGGCAAAGCCTATTTTTCTCCCTCCAAAACAAAAGGAAAATAGGCTCTGCTAGCAGGAAATTGCATAATTGTAGATTAAGGAAGGTTTTAGCTTATTGATGTGCAAGGCTTCTTTGCTTTTCAGAATTAAATTGTGAGGTGGTTGATCTATTGTAATTTTACCTCGTCTCCAGAAAGTTCATGGTCTCCAGTCATGATAACCTCTGGTTCATGCAGACGATGTCTCACATCTTCCCTGCAAAATAAATGAAATCAAAAAAAGATTTTTCTAACATCAATGTAACATACCATTTTTACTCTGACAAAGGAATAACTTCCCTTATTATATAATTACCAATGAAATATCTATTTTTCTCTATTTCGAAAAATTGATATCTTCACACGTGAAAATAACATGTTATTTTCATGTGTGAAAATAACACCATTGCGATGGCTATTCAAAAATACATGGAAAGAATTGCCAGAAAAAGCCAAAACATACTTCATTGATAATTATATAATAAACAGAATATTACATGGCCGCTTGGAGATGCGAATTTTATCTTCTCGTGTTGAAAATCTCTCAGATCTTTTCAACACTCGAAGATAAAATTCGTATCTCCGCGCACCCATGTAATATCCTCTATATCTACCACATCATACTCAAGCATCTCAATCCCCTACATTACCATGCATCCTCGCATTTAGGGAAATTACATTTTTATTGGGGGGGGGGGGGGGGGGGGGGTGATGGACCAGGAGATGCGCAGTAACTTTTTTTTAAATAGTGACTTTGTCGTAGCCCTCCCCATTAATTCACTCAGTAAGAAATTCATGACACTTTTATTAAGTCAAGAAGGCAGGGGCATAGCCAGACAATATTGTTTATTGAGGCAAACAAGCATGCATATCTTATTTCCAATTGATTGGCTCAAGGGATGTCTTTAGCTTGCATTATAAGAAAAGTGACAAAAAAAATCAGTGTTGATGCTTTGAGTGTACTCACTGTAATTCATACAGTAATTGGACTTTCTAGAACTAAGGCCCTGTCCACACTATGCCGGGTAAATTTGAATCCAAATTTTCATTATTCGGTTACCGTCCACACTAGTCCGGGCGAATCTGGAACAATGGACCTATCCTGAATTCGCTTGACTGACCACGAAACAATGGTTTGAAGTTGAGATTGAACTTGATTCTTTTATTCATCAAGTTCAACCTCGACTTGAAACCATTGTTTCGTGACCAGTCAAGTGAATTCAGGATAGGTCTATTCTACACCGAAAACGAATTTTCGAAATGGAACCGAATAAATAAAAATTTGGATTCAATTTTATCCGGCATAGTGTGGACGGGGCCTAATAACAATAGAACTTGACTTACCCTTCTTCATCATCTTTGGCTCTTTCTTGAAGCCGTCTCAATCTTCTGTCTGTTTTTTCTGCTTGTTCAAATGCCTGAAGAAATCATTCAAAAAAGCTCCTTTTTATATAGAATCTTAGAATTTTAATTGTAGTAATATTCCAGTTTTAAATCCTCTTTTGCTCAGAGTTAGCTTTTATTTTGTATGGAAGAATACTAATATGTTTCAGTAGATGCACATCTTCAGAATCTCAAAGTGTTACAGCCAGACATCAGACAATTTCTGACCAGAACCAAGACTTGTCTGGTCAAATCTTTGCCTTGCTGGTCATTTTGATCAGTATAGTCTAGCTACATAGAAATGAGATCTGACTAAGCTAAAACTAATTTGGATTGGAATCATGACTGGCGACTGATTGCCCATCTTTATRACAAATGTCTAATGTTCTACTGACCATTGCTTTACAACGGCACACAACATACATCTATGTTTTTGGTTTCTGTTTTACCTTCTCTAGATCCTGGTCCTCATTGGGTACACCCTTAACTTGCTCTCCAAATACTTCCATTTCATCTTCCTCTTCATCGCGGGAATATTTGGCATACTCTGGCCTAAAACAGACAACATACAGTACGTCATTAACCCTTTCACCAAAGTAACCCGCTTTTCCGGGATTGTAATTTTGTTTCCCGTACGAACTATCCCGGTTTTCCGGGAATTCGATCGTTTGATGTTTGGGAGCTGGAAACTACCGGTTAATTGRCTCTAGAGGGGCCTAAATCATATTGACGAAATCTATAATGCTGAAACCCCAAAGGCACGTGCTTTCCGCCATATTGYGTCATATGATATTTTTGATGAAGAAGCTATGAAAGGTTCGGATGAAGCGTGCGTTTACGGGCGCCATTTTTTAAAAACCAAACGTTGTTATGAGTGATTCAGAGGACTCRGAAAGTTCAGAGAGTGATTCTGACGAGGATTTAGAGGATATCTTTGGAGAATCGAGTGATGAAGAAGATTTTGGAGGCTTTGTTTATGAAATACYGGACAATATTGATTGGAGAAATGATCGTGATGGAGAAGTCTTTCGATCGTTTTATGAAGACAAGCCGCRCACTGTTTTTAACAGAAGAAACTGTGGACCAACAATCAACCAAATGCCTGGTGAAGGACAACCCATTGATCTTTTCAAGCTGTTTATTTCTGATGAATTCTTGCTAAAGGTGGTTGGCTGGACAAACCGTTGGTTTACGGTTAAAACAGGAAAAGACCCAGATAAGCCATTGACTGATATTAGGGAACTCAAAGCATTTCTTGCGCTGTTGCTTACTATGAACAGAGACGTTAACCTTCCTAATTATGAAAACTACTTTAGACAAGATGAGAGAAAGTGGCTTTTTTTAGTACCTGGATTTCAGCATGTTTTTACATTAAAAAGATTTCAGTTTTTAAATCGTTATGTGTYTTTTTCGGATCCAGATAGTTTGGATGGAGATAGAGTAGATGAAGTTGCTAGACAAGATAAACTTGCTAAGATCAGGCCTCTCGTTGAAGAAATGCAGTTGACTTTCAAAAGAAATTTCAATTGCRGGAAAAAAATCTGCATTGATGAATGTATGATACCTTACAAAGGAAAACTTTCTTTTAAGCAACGGATTTTATCAAAGCCCGTCCGCTGGGGTATCAAACTTTATGAACTGTGTGACTCAGAAACAGCATATCTGTCCAGGTTTGAGGTCTATCTTGGCAAAGCTAGAGAGGAACAGGAAGTTTCAGATATAGGAAAGTCAGGAGCTGTTGTAGCACGTCTAACTAGTGACTTACACGGGAAAGRACACTATTTATACATTGACAATTTTTACAACAGTCTTGCCTTGTGCCTTTATTTGCAGCCACGTAGTATTTATGTTTGTGGTACTGTTCGCTCCAACAGAAAAGGGTTTCCACCAGCTTTGAAAAATCTCAAASMWTCGACGATGGGACCACGAGGCAGCTTTGAACATAGGAGTTATCATGGCATTGTTGCCCTTAGCTGGAAAGACAACAAATTAGTCCATTTCTTGTCCTCCATTCATTCTCCAGATCAAGTAACTACACTTCAGCGAAACCAAAGACGACGGGGTGGTGGATATGATTTGGTTGATGTACAAGCGCATTCCATGATAGAGGACTATAATTCTAACATGGGTGGAGTAGATAGTAATGATCAACTCACAAYTGTTATGAAGAATAGGAGGCAAATGCGCTGGTACATGCGACTAGTTATGAAATTCCTTGAGGCTGTGGCTTTTAACTCCTACGTCATTGAAGGGTTTTTTGTAGATCATACCCCCCCTGGAAAGAGAAAGAGATCCTTTGCAACCTTTAGAGAGGAGTTAATACTGCAGCTGGTTGGGAATTGGAGGATGCAAAGGTTGAGACCTGGAAGGAAAAGGCAGGCAAACCCCTTCAGACTTGACAATGTTGGAGACCATCTTCCTGTCAAGGGTATTGGCTGTGACCACACCTGTCAAGTCTGCACTGAGAGAAGGCGCCGGTACATGGCTTCTCACCCAGATGTCCCAAAGAGAGAGGTTCCTCATAAATTAACCAAGACAACATTCATGTGTGACTGCTGTAAAGTGTATTTGTGCATCAGCAGGGAACTCAACTGTTTCAGAGTATGGCATACCAAGGTAGAATATTGGAAAGAGTAATCCATCCTTCCTGTCAATTCATTCCGGATAATGGCTACTCTTTCCAAATTGTAGGTTGTAGGCACCGAACTTTCATATGTAATGCTGACAGAAATATCTGATTAACCATAGTTCTTGGACTGACATTTTTTATATCAAAAAATGCCTTGTCATATAATTTGAAAACTTCTACAGCAAACCTACGTTCTAGCCAACCCATCGCAATGCATACTAAGAACACGTTTGTAAATATTTACACATTTTTAAACCTTTATCTTCATGAAAGCCCATTATTTATATAAACTATTTATAAAATACTTAGAAGAAGTGTTTTTTAATTGATTTCTTTAAAAGAAGTGATTTTTAACTTGACATATTTGGCATTTTTTATGTCCCTGTGATTTTTTCAATAAAATGTAACATTGACWGCCTCAATCTCATGTCAGAGATGCTCATTTGCCGAACCAACACCATGAATAGAAAGTACACTTCCAAACCTTTCATTTGAATATGGGGTTCCTATTAATGAAAATAACTCCTTCATGCTTAAATATCAGTTTGAATAAAAGGGGTTAAATTTTGCTGGTTTTCTGTTGTGTGGAGTATTTTTTGAGCTGGGATCCCTTTGGTGAAAGGGTTAAGTGCTAGTACAGTACAATGAAGTATAGTAGAGTTGACAATATTGATTCATAAAATGCATCTAATGTGCTAAATTCCAATTTCGATCCGCGCCCTCACTTTGATCAGCCTAGAGGTAGTTTCAGGGTTTGATCTGTGACTTAGCCGTGCCCTGACTTTGATCAGCCTTGAGGTTGTTTGAGGGTTTGATCTATGAGTTAGCCGTGCCCTGACTTTGATCAGCCCAGAGGTAGTTTCAGGGTTCGATTTGTGAAGTTAACCGTGTCCTGACTTAGATCAGTCCAGAGCAAGATGGTTTCAGGGTTCGATCTGTGAGTTAGCCGTGTCCTGAATTAGATCAGCCCAGAGGTTGTTTCAGGGTTCTATCTGTGAGTTAGCCATGCCCTGACTTAGATCAGCCCAGAGGTGGTTTCAGGGTATGATAAAACTTGAAGGTTATTTTAAGTGGCATTAGAAATCTTTCTTTGCATTTGATAACCTTACATTTTCATCATATGTATGTATAGAGGATATTACATGGGCGCGCGGAGATACGAATTTTATCTTCAAGTGTTCAATTGATATCTCACTAGTGAGCAGCGGCCATGTAATGTTCTGTTTATTATACAGATATCGATGAAACTTAAATAAAACAAAAGCTCAAACATTCTTTATTAAAATACGTTACTATGTCAACAGCGATATCTTCACGTGTGAAAGATATGGTATCTTCCACTGGTGAAATATATCAAGTTTTTGAGACTAGAGAAAACCTGGTATTTCATTGATATCTATATAATAAATATATATTCATCATGTATATATATTTATCATGTATATATATTCATCATATAAAATTTAATGTTATACACACCTTTTTCCAGCAACATATCTGGTAACCTTCACTTTTTCCATAGTGATTTCACCTTGGAAAAAAATCATATCAAAGTTAAAATCTTTTTCACATAGTAAACACCGAAGAAATGATCTAATTGTTTATCAGAATTAAGTACTCTGGGGTGTCTGTAAGCTTGAAGCTCATGTAATGGAAACGTGTTAGAATTAATTATCCCTAAAAGTTTATACATGTAGGAAAAAAATGATATTTTTTAGCATTTAAAATTTTAGAAGCTAAAAACTATATAACTGAAGCCATAACTAAACATGTAGCAAGATGATAAGTCGACTAGGGAAGCAAATCTTGATGGAAAAAAAAACGTTTTGTGGAGGAAAACGTCTTGTCAACTTACCCTTCTCGTTTCGCACAGGAACAGCTCCTGCAGCACAGTTGAGAGGAATTCTCAACGAAGTTCCCTGCGAAGACATGGTGGATACCTTCACTTTGAGAATTAAAGGCTTTTTTGTTTAATTTTTAGTGAAAATCTCCAGGTTTTATGGTTGATTCTAACAAATCTCTAATTCAAAATGGCGTCTCTTCTTTGAACACGGTTGATGGACTGGCACTAATATTACTAACCGCTGATAAAAGAGCCAGCGATTAATACCACAGGAATCCCATTAGATTTTTTAAAGGCTTTTGAGAACGCTATAAACCAAAACACTAGAAACCGAAACACTATTCATTGGTTAAGAACAATGTTGACTTTAATGACCGCTTTGTACCTGGGGGAAGGGGGTAGGGTGGCTTTTAGGGTTTTACATCTGCGATTTTGTACCTCTTAGGGTGTCACAAATCTACAACAAAGACTGCCAGAGAGTATGCCGTTACCTCATAAGGCGTTTATCAGAACAGGAAGTAAGATATATCTGAGCGAGGCCTAGATTAGATAATAACTAGCAATAATAACCGTCGTAATTATTAGGATATTTATTTTCGATTYTTATTTTCTTCTCTTTCTTTCTTTCTTTTTTTGGTACCTTCTAGAGGTAAAAAATCATTAGTTGCCACGCCCACCTGGACAAGACCCTGGTACGTTTTAATAAGGGTAATTTCTAAAATTTCCGACGATAACRCCACACCCCACCACCCTCGAGGAGACCAACGGCTTCCTATGGAATTGTTTGAAGGGGAAAACTGAACCGCATCAGCTCTTGGATTAAGACCAAAGCTCTTCGCATACTTCGACGTAAACAAGAAGAAAGGCATAGCATATACAGAAGAAAGATAACGAGGACGTCGTTGAATGGACGCGTTATTGGCAACAGAAATAAGAATTCAATATTTTAGACCCTTTTCGCCGTTCATTTCCTACTTTTCTAACGTTTTCTTGTAACTCTCTAAGTAGAAGATATTTAAAAAGGAAATAAATTTGAAGACAAAGTTACCCATGAATTTTTGGGAATTCCAAAATACTTTCAAAGATAAATGAATTTAAGTTTCGATAAAGAAATGAAAGCTCTTAAACCACAAGCCTAAGCCGCGATTCTTTCGGAATGCTTACGCCCGTGAAGGAAAGACATAAGAACTACACGGAAATTAATTTTTATGCATAGTTTCGAAACAGTTTAATGTATGACTTGTATTTTCGGTTCCCTATTAAAGTGAGCAGCACAGTGAAATATAAATCAGTTTAAACATCACATCTTCGAGAGAATAATCGTAAGCCAAAACTACTGCTGGAAAAATGAAGCTGAGAAGATACTTGTAAGATGAAAGGTTAGTAATCTAAATTCCTAAGCATGCAATTAGTTTTGAATCTTGTTTTTGATTTTTACTAGTTATTGGTCAATATTTGTTTTGTATTTTTTGTAATTAAGTCGGTATATTATTATAGTATTATTCATATTGTTGTTTAGACTATAAATACCATGGCCCGGTTGTACGAAGGATGAAAAGCGCTATCCGACGGATAAATCCTTATCCAGTGGATAAGTTGATGCTGTTATCCAATAAATTTATCCACTGGATAAGAATTGTCCGTCGGATAGCGCTATCCACCCTCCATAAAACCGGGCCCAGGTTAACTCCTTTTACTACTGAAAAAAGGCTCGAACATAAATAGTAGAATTTTTTAAAATGTTCTGTTAATTTTGACAAACAATTACGAAATTTATTATGACACGAAGCCTAGTTTCAATACTCAGAATGATTCCATTCGCGTAAAACTTTTTTCGCTTATTTAATGTTCTCCCTAGGGCGTTTTCTTTCATATATCTTTGCTTTTGTCGTAACTTTGCATTTCTTTACGGTCTGCTTCTAGATCTATATACATAATTACATTTTTATTCATTTTTTGCTTTTTAATGACGTTGTAGCACACGTCGAAACGTCACGTTCATATTTTGATTTTTTTTGTATGTTTCTAAGTTTTATGCTGTCGCAGTGTTTTATAAGTAAATTATTTACGAAATCTCTCTTCATTACAAAATCAATAAAAAATTTAAACTAAAGTAATCGGGGTAAATTTTATCAATGATTTTCAAAACAGACAAAGAGAAATTCCCATTACCAAGTCCAAGCCTAGAGTTCCTCAGGGRAAAAAAAGCGAAATGTAAAAAAACAAACAGTATAATTGTGTCAGAACTGCGAGAGCGAGCAAATAAAATATAAGAAAATAAGGTTTAAGATTAAATTGAATTGATTATAGCTAGTTGTTGTTGTAAGGAATCGTTTCAGCATACGAAAACTAGTCACTGCCAAAGCAACTTTAAAGTGAAAGGAAAAGAGACAACTCAACTTAATAATTTGAATATTTTTTTATTTTTTATACATTCAGGGGCGAGCTTGGTTTCAGTTTGTCAGACGCAATGCCAAGAATATCGCTCATAGCATATCGTTGCGGCTATCATTTCATTTGGATCGAGAAATGAATCTGAAGCTGATTGCAGTGGGCGGCAGCATGTTCTTCTGATTGGCTGGGCGAGTGTACGACTTTAGTCAATGGCAATCGAAGGCTTTCCTATCCATGTTGAAAGACGGCTCGACATAGTGATGATGTTCTCGCATGGTGAACAACCGTATCCTATAGTAAAAGAAGTACTTCCATGGCCGGCACTATTTACGCGATATCCTCTTACTGCGAAAACAAACCGGCGGCTAAAGCAATGCTATTGATAGTGACATAGTAATAGGAAGATAGCCAGACAATGTAGCATATGAAGAGAAATAGCAATAGGGTAAATGGGTACAGGGCAAATTTAGGCGACTTTTTTCACACACCATTAGCAAATGCCACATGGGTTTAATCATGTGACATTCTGCTACGATGTCTACCGCTGGAGTCTTCAAGACACTCAAGTCTCCATAGGTAGCGCGCCCAAGTAAAAAACGAGAGTCATTTTCATATATAGGTCTTATATATGGTAATGCGATAAAAAAAGGTGCAGTGCTTTTGTAGATACTTCAAACTCAAGAAGCTACAAAAGCTCCAAACCTCTGTACAGAAACACATGCCCGTCATGTGAAGCTGCTGTTTCGAAACCTAAGGGAAGACGTACGATTAATTCCAATGTACTCTTTCCTTGCCACCATAAACCCAACATTTTTCGCGTGACAGTCACGTAATGCAAACATGTGCTTGTCACGGAACTTTGTTGGAAATTGGCATCGTGATCTTAACTTGATTTTCCCACTATTTTTTCAGCTATTACCCCATATTTTGAGATTAAAATCATTAATACTACGTGGGCTGTTTTGGAGCTGATTAACGATGAAATTTCGTAAGTAAACTAAGAAGAAATATTGATTAATTGTTCATTATATTTGAAAATTAGAATATATTAATATTTGTTATTATTATCAGTGGAATATATTAACACTACATTATTTATTATCCATCCATCCATCCATCCATCCATCC